AAACCTCCCAGGCTGAATGAGTCTCTAGCAGGATTGTGAATTTATTAGTCGGCTTGTATTAGTGCCTTCCCAGTCTTAAGTATTAGTGCCTAGATCCCAAACTTCCCCAACTTAAGTATCAGTGCCTAGATCCCAAATTTACCAGTCTTAAGTATCAATACCTAGATCCCAAACTTACTAGTCTTAAGTATCGATGCTTAGATCCCAAACGTACCAGTCTTAAGTGTCAGTGCCTAGATCCCAAACTTACTAGTCTTAAGTATTAGTGCCTAGATCCCAGATTTACCACTCTTAAGTATTAAACAAATCCAAACCACTAGGTACTATTAACTTGGAAATCCTCACAGCAAGGGACTTGCCTTGATACTCATGTTAGACAGGCAACAATTTACAAAAGCTGGTTTGGATTTAAACTCTAAAAGTGATCCCCAGGAAGAGCTTCTGTGCATTTACAGACCAACACTCACCAAAGGATGGCTGGCTTATGAGGCATCAGTGGACAGATTTAGTCTCTTTGCATCAAGTCAAAAATTTGCTGTCACTTATGCTATGTCTGAATCCACATTCAAAATTCAGAAGAAATCCAAGATCGGTGGGCACTTTGTTGCTTGACAGTTTCTCTATGCATCACCAGGATGAGATGATTACTTTCATGCAAAAAAACAGAAATTATCCATGGTGATGGCTGGGCGATTTTCAGTTTAGTCCATGCTACCAATGATTTCAGGCATTGTTTGTCATTGTTCATTCTTGCGTCATATCTTTGACAAATGATACGACTTTTACTGACATTTGTGGATTTAATCCCAATCATGTGTGCTGTACATCGTACAAAGCGTAAGTCCTCACGCCTCTCTTCTCATCTTCTTTTAATCAGAGACACACAGCACGTCTTCGTGAAGAGCTGGCTAAGCTAAAGCCCCCGGCCAATGTCCTGGAAGAGTTCCCAGAGTGGGAGTCTGTACCAGAATTCTGCTTTGAGGACACCAGCAACAAACCCTCCACCTCCACTCAGGGAGCAGCCCACAGCGGCACGTCAAAGACAGCACCAGCGGGGCAGGGAGCCACGTCCTCGGTGCCCTCCACATCCTCACAGGGTGCCTCCGAGGATGTCAAGAGCAGCAGTGAGTTGGAGAGCATAGCCAAGGCCTCAGTCAACGACAGCATCATCAAAGCCTTGGGGAAGGAAGAGGTAATAGAAGGCGTGAGCGTGATAGACACAATCGTCATTGAGGGAGAGAGTACCTCATCAGCTTCATCTTCATCCATCCTG